CGCCAGGTGATGCCATCCCTTTGCCCTCCAGGGCCTCACTTTAAAGTGTTTCCTGATGAACGGGGCAGGTCACCTCACAACCCTGAGGCTTCAGCTTGGACATCCACATGCACGGCTCGGCACCATTCCTTGCTCTCCCTCATGCTCTGCTCACTCATTCCTTACCAGGCATCATCTCTCCAGGCACGGCAGTTGTGCTCTTGGTTTTTAGACTCTCTCGCTGAGCCTGAGCTTTGCTCTCAGCAGAAGTTTGCCCGGCTCTTTTGCCACCTTCCTTCTCTCCTTCCTCCCTACCCACCTTAAACACCAGACCACCGGTGGTTAAGGATGAAGGCTATTCCCCTCCCAACACTCTCTGCTGGACACCTCTGGCAAACTTGGAGTCACCCCAGTGACCCAGGCACGTGCTGGCCAATCGATACACATCCTTCTTCCTCCCCGTGTCTTTGCCACAACTGCTGCTTTGGCCATCCAGACTGCTGCCACTCCAGGCACGATTAAAGCCATGGCTTTCCAGTGGACACCCAACCCTGCTGAGCAGCAATCTGAGTCCACGAGCCTTTTCAGGACTGTTCAAGAAGCTGTTGTGTTTTATTCCCAGCCAGCAACTAGAAGCACACAGATGCTCATTCACTCCCCCTATTTGGAATGGGGGATAAAATCGGTAGAGTAAAAGGAAGAAAAATATACTCATGTGTTGATATAAAGACAGTTTAATACGTAAAGCAAATACCTCTCTACTGCCCCATCTCTCTTCCAACCACTATAACGCTTGAGGTTACTCAGCTTCTCCACACACGAAGCAGGTGCACCATTAGCCCTTACTCACCCACCCCCTCCCCTGTGTAACATCCCATCTCCGTCTGGACAATTTGGCTGAGCAATTGAGGAGGGAAGGAACACGAGGAGACATCAATTGTGTGTGCAAGCAAAGCAAACCAGGGAATTACTTCACTGATTCCCATCAGCAGGAGGGTGTGAAGCCATTTCCAGGAAAGAAAGCTCCGTCGTGCATAATGATTTCCTGGGAAGAGAAATGTTATCACTCTAAACGTTCCACCCTTCCTTCTTCTTCTCCCAGGTTTATATACTGAGCATGACATCACATGGTTTAAAATATCCCTTTGATCAGTTGGGGTCAGCTGTCCTGGCTGGGTCTCCTCCCAACTCTTTGGGCACTCACTGGCAGGGCAGTGTGATGAGCAGAAAAGTCTTGACTGTTTATAAACAACAAAAAACATCAGTGCATTATCAACACCACTGTCAACACCGCCCTTAACCAGAATCCAAAACTACAGCAGCTTCCAGTATGAAAGTCAGCTCCATCGTATAACAAGACGTACCTACTACTCTACCATGACCAGAGCAACAGGACCAAAGCATTGCTTGAGGAAGATGAGGACATGAGAAGGAGTGACTGAGAACAGAGCCGGCAGAGTACTACCCCTTGGTACCCCCACCATGGGGCCGGGTTGGAAGGCCAAAAGGATCACTTCTTGGGACCTCTCCAGGAATCACCAACGCAGCACCTGAGTTCAGTTTCTGAAGGATTTGCTGCACATCTGCTCCAGACTCATGTCTCTTCAGGACATGGTAGGACTCCGCAACACTTAATGCTTTTGAGCACAAGTCTGCTCTGGTAGGGGCAAAGATGCTTCTCCTGCTCCCTTGTAGCCCTCCATAGAGTTTCCAGGACACGTCACCAACGCTACCCATCTCTTCCAGATGAGGGAGGAGAAATCCCGGGTGTCCATTCCCCTCCCTTACACATTTAACACACCTACGTCAAAGCCGTCCACATTGTAACAAAAATCTAGCAGAGGGCTCACATCCCCCTTTACACAGTTACCCTGGCTGCCACATGTCGCGTTATCTCCAGTGGGACTGCCACCAATTCCAGGGTTTGGAAGAAGTGCTTGGGGGAGGGAAGGGCAAGGATACTTTTCTGAGTGGTAACATGCAATCAGAGCCTTGGGGAGGTGGGCATTAGCCTGCACAGAAATGTCTTCCCACAGGTCAAAGATTTGCCTCCTCTACTGGAAGCCAGGATCCCACCTCAGTTGTTACTCACATTTCCCCTGGGGGCATCCTGCCCACACTTTCCATACTCAGACAATACCACATACCTCTCTACTGCCCCATCTCTCTTCCAACCACTATAACGCTTGAGGTTACTCAGCTTCTCCACACACGAAGCAGGTGCACCATTAGCCCTTACTCACCCACCCCCTCCCCTGTGTAACATCCCATCTCCGTCTGGACAATTTGGCTGAGCAATTGAGGAGGGAAGGAACACGAGGAGACATCAAGCTACAATGCAACACAAACTTTAATGAGTCTAAAGAGTGAAACAAAGCAGGGCATGGTGCAAGGCACCCAGACCACGCTGCTACGAAGGCAGCTGACAGCCAGGCATCCCTTCACACCAATGGATGGGACACACATCGTCCTCCCACACACAGGCGGAGAGGGTGATGAGCAGGGCCCCGCTCAACTTGCTTCAGGATGAACCCATGGCACAGGAGAGCAGGAGACAACAGGGACTCGTGATGCGGAGAAGAAAGCAGCAGGAGAAGAAGAAGACATCAGCTGGCCATGTTTCCAGACAGCACAGGCTGGCACCTTGCTCAACCCTTCTGGAA